GTTCCTCCAAGAACATCGCACGCGCGCGCGATTCTCTCGTCGGCCACTGGGGCGCCCGCGCGGCGCGGTTTACCCCGCGCCTGCGCGCGCTCGCCAGCCAAGAACAAAAGCGCCTCGCATCGCCGCTCGCTGCATTGCGATGTCAACTCGATGATATTACGCGTAGCCCGCCGCCTTGGAGCGCTCCAGGACAATCCTGCGCCGGCGACTCCTGCGTCGACCGCGCCCGCGCAAGGCTGCTCGTCTTCTTGCCATTATTGCCCGTGGTCTTCGGGGCCGCCGTCTCCGGCTGGGGCGCGCCCTTGGCCTTGCCCTCGGCCTCGGCCACGGGCCCGGCCTTCGCTTACGTCTTGCCCTTGCCCGCGCCAGTTTTCGCCTCGACGGCCAGCAGGGGCGCGTTTCCCGTTGCCTCGACGTTCGAAGCGACCGCGTTCGGCCGCGCCTCCGCCGGCGCGTCGGAGGCCTCGCCCGTCGTCGGCGGGTTCTCGGAATTGGGGGGGGGGGTAGGCCACGCCCCCCCCCCGCAGGCGGGGCCGTGCTCGGATGCCGCAGGCCCCCCGGCATCCTGAGCCGGAGGGGGCCTTGCACGCCCTGCTGGCCAGCCCCCGCCAGGACGCGGCCGGGGCGCATCTGGGCCAGCTGCGTCGCACCCCCCAGCGCGAGGCTCTGCGTTGGCGACCCCTGGCTGGCGAGCACCACGGCGGCGCCTTGGCGCGCCGTGTTCCTCAAAGGAAACGCGCGACAAACGCTCCGAGTCGTAGACTCAGCGACAGGGCTTGAACCTGGCAGCTCCTCTCCATATATGCTCTCGACGAAGGCGGCGCGCCTCTCGCGCGCGGTCGAGGGCTGCAGCGTTAACTCCTTCGCGCGCGTAGCTGGCTCTGGAAGTCAGGAAAACCCGTGGGGAATCGACGCGGGCGGCTCTCGTTGGCTTTTGCCCCCGGGGCCCGGGGCGAACGGCAAACCATAGGCGCGGGCGCGGGTCCCCGCGCGCCCCCCTCCGCGCCTCGCGCCTGAAGACGCCCTTCGCCTGATGGAGATGGGCCAGCTTCGCGCCCCGCGACAGGGCCCTCGCTGAGCCGGGGCCGTCAACCGACAATCGCCGCGCGTAACCGATCATAGCGGATGCGCCTTCCGAAGGATTCCTTAGCCCGAGCGCGATGGGGGGGTCGCACAGCGCAGCGAGCTCTTGGGCCGCGTCGACATCCCCCTTGGCCAAAATATGTCGCGCGCTCATTTCGTAGTAGTTGAACATTAACTCCGAGTCCTGTTGCTTCGCGCGCCCTGACCCTTCGTCTTCAGCGCCTCCTCCGCGCTGAGACAAGGGTCGCTTGCGCGACGACTTGGGCAGGGTCCACCTTCGCTGAGCCGAGGGAGCGAAGCAGGGCGGTCAACTGCGAGTTGGCTACGGACTCGAAGCAAGGGTCGTGGCGCACCGCTTCCAGCAGCTTGCCCGTGGCCTCCACCTGGTCGCGGGGGCGCTGGAACAACGCCGGCCTCGCCTTCGCCGCCATGGTGCACCCTGAACCGAGCGGCTTGCTTGAGCCACAGCGCTGCGACTGGCAACGCAACAGAGGAGGGGGGCGCGAGGGAGGAGGGCGGGGGGGGAGAAGGCAAGCGAATCATCGCCGAGGAAGGTGCACTTGCGCGCAGCGAATCAATCGCTTTGTGGCGTGGGTAGGCAACTGATCGCTGAAAGGCGAATGAGCACATGATCGCTTTGCGCTCGCGTAAGCGGCCGACCGCTGACGCCCAAGGCGACACCCGCGCCAAAACGCAAGCGAATGATCGCTGGATGCAAGACGACGGGATTGATGGTGGAGGACGAGGGCGTACTCGTGGATGAGTGGCGGTGATGGGTGCACGTGATGGTGGCGGATGTGGGGAATTGCGGGCTGGTGCCCAACTAACTTACAAGTCCCCTCTAACTCCAATTAACTACCATAACTGTTGGACACGGCAAATGTATACGCAAATCGCAAGTGGAGTTATATGTTCGGGAATAATCAGCTGTGCGTGCAATATTTAAATATTGGCCAGATTGTTCCAGCAACAATGCTTGGCAACTTGAAAAACTAGGGTGGTCCATGCGTACGCTTAGACGCTGCTGCGGCTGAAGTTGAGCGCAGCTCAGTTAATGCAGCCCCGAAGCACGATCCCAGTGGTGGGGGTTGTTCTGGAGGGAGCTCGCGCCGACGAATTTTAGAGCGCTTGCTCGCTTTGCTTGAGCTTCGCTTGTGTCAGGTGCTCAGAACGTTCCGGCGGGCGTTTCCAGGAACATGGGCCATCGATGGGCATATCGCGTTCGTGTTGGGATGTTGCCTTGCGCCGATGGATATCGAGCGGCACCGTCGCTGGCGCCCCCCGTCGGGGTAAGCCGAGGCCGGCAATGAGTGGGCAAACCGAAGTTGTCTCCCACGACCATCAAACTTTGGCCGAAAAGGAGTTTCTCCACCACCACAACCACTTCCTCCTCCTCCACCTCCTTCTCCTCCTCTTCTGTCTCCTGGGGCGGGGGGTGGGCGGCGCCACTCTGTCGCCGAGGCCAGCCAACTGCAACACCTTCTTAGCCACGCCCTGCACCTCCCAGAGGGGCCGGGACAAGGCCCGCTGCCCTCCACCCCCTCCCAGCCCTCGTCCGAACCGTCGCCCTCATACCCCTCCATCATCCACTCCGCCTCTCCTCCCCCCTTCTTCCTTATCCTCGTCCTCCCGTCGCTCTTCCGCGTCCTCCTCCTCCTCCTCCTCCTCCTTTTTCTCTGCCTCCTCCTCATCCTCCTCGCCTGTTCCTCCTCTTCCGCCTCCTCGCCTCCTCCTCCTCCTCCCTGTGCTGTGGCATACAGTCGACGACGACGACGGACGACTGACGACAACGCACGTCGACGACGACGGGCGAAGAAGACGACGGAAAAAGAAGACGACGACAACGACGAGCGACACACGACGACGATTACGAACGACAACATGGCGACGACGACAACGACGGACGATGGACGAAGACGACGACACGCGACGACAACTATTGGCGACGGACGACGACGACGACGACGACGACGACGACGGACGTCGGCGGCAACGGGCGACGACGACGGACGACCACGACGACGACGGACGATAGCCGAAGACGACGGCAACGACGACAAACCCTTGTCGTCGGCGTCCTCACAATCCGTTCAAAACTGGTCCCCGAACTTCTCCCAAGATGCATCCTGACCAACTTTCCGCCCTGGGTCGATTGGCGACGGTCCCGGCGCCCGATTCCCGAGACTGACAGCGGCGAAAAGCCATCGTAATGATCGACGACAACGACGACGCCCGACGACGACGAGGACGCCTCAGGGTCCGGGTCCACTGAGAACAGCACCGCCCCTGGCGGCAGGAGACGAGCCATGCGCACCGCGGAGTCCGCCGTGGGGCGAGCCCCAGGTCATGATCCTATTTGTGGAACGCACCTGCAGGGACCTTCCAGGGCCGTGCGGAGGGAGTGACGGGAGATGGTCTCGAGATAAGGAGGAGGGGGAGGAGAAGGAGGAGGAGGAAAGGGAGGAGGAGGAGGAGGAGGAGGAGGAGGAGGAGGAGGAGGAGGAGGAGGAGGAGGAGAGGGAGGAAGAGAGGAGGAGAAGGAGGAGGAGGAGGGAGAGGAGGAGCAGAAGGAGGCGGAGGAAGAGGAGGCCGAAGATGATGAGGCGGAGGAGGAGGAAGCGGAGGAGGATGAGGATCAGGAGGCGGAGGAGGAGGAGGAGGAGGAGGATCAGGAGGAGGAGGAAGAGGTGGCGGAGGAGAAGGAGCAGGCGGAGGAGGATGCGGAGGAGGAGGAGGAGGAGCAGGAGGAGGAGGAGGAGCAAGAGGAGGAGGCGGAGGAGGCAGAGGAGGAGGAGGCGGAGGAGGAGGGGGAGATATGTGCAGCACGCAAGACGAAGGAGGCGCAGCCCGCCTCCTTGCGTCGCGCGGAGGCAGCAGGCAAGCATCACCTCGCCCGCCTCGTCGTGCGTCTGGCGCCAGCAGGGAGGAGGAAGAGGAGGGGTAAGCACTTTTGCGGCCTCCCCAGTGGGGTCGGAACAGGTGGGTTGGGAGGATCAGGCCGAATCGCTTTTACATCGCCGATGCAGCGCCGACGCATCACAGATGCAACGGCGACGTCGGCAAGGCACCGGCGACATCAGCGTGGAGAAGGTCGGGCTCTACATTGCGCTGCATCGCCGATGCGGCACCGACCCCGTCTGGGAAGCCTAGACACTTCCCCTGCGCACTGGCACCCCCGAAACGGCCTCCGCAGATTGTCGTATCCCCACTTGAGGAGCTACGATAGGAGGGACTGGCTCAGGTGGGAAACACTGGCTTGGAACCTAGATCGGCGATCGGCACCCGATAGCGAAGCCTCTCGCCCCTGGGCGGGTCGGGGGGGGCATGCCTCGATTGGCGATGAATGGGCGGTTGGGGGTCGATGCGTTTGGGGTCCATGCTTCCCCCCCTGTCGTTGCCCCCGGTCCCTCTCCCCCCCCGCCCGCCATCCTTCCGCATCGCCCGAGCGTCGCGGCCCAGAAAGCTCCGAGTTCCCCGGACCTGCCCCCTGGGGGGCGGCGGCCACCGCGACGGCAACGGACACAAACCCCGGTGTAGTCCCGCCAGCCCTCTGGGCGACAGGCGGTCTAACGATGGCTGTCTTTCCTCTTCCACATCCCCTTCGACCCCTTCTTCCCCTTCGGGGAGGGGTTGCCCTCCCCTAAACCCCCTCCCCTGAACCTGGACGGGGGCGCTCGCGAGCGGTCAGCGGGTCCGTTGGCCCAAGATGGCTCCAAGAGGGCCTCAGAGAGCCCAAGATGGCCTCCAAGATAGCTCAAGGTAGCCCATCACGGCTCAAGATAGCTAACAGCATGCCTCCAAGAGGCCCCAAGAAGGTCACAAGACGGATCCAAGTGTAGTTCGATCGAATTAGAAATTTATGTTTGATGGTCCTGGGGCCCCGAAAGGCCCCCGAGGGCCGGAATCGAAGAAAAAACGCGGGTTCAAAAAATCGAATCGTAATCTCGGGACGGCGACAACATCGGTGACGGACGACGGCCGACGACGACGACGACGACAGCGGGGTTCTGACGGGGCCGGCGGCGGCCCTTGGTGTACCCGACGTACGTCCCGAGCTCGAGCGCCTGGAAGTCACAACCTTGGTCGCCCCCCCCCCTCTTCCCTCTTCCCTCCTGCTCTCACACCGTAGAATTCTGACGCACGATTAAGATGCAAGGGCATTGGAAGGCCACGTCGACACTCTGCGGGCCGAGCGCGGCTAGCGAAAGCGGCCACTGATGGGCCGAAGGCGCAAGGGTGCAAGGCTGACCCTGGAAAGCCGCTCATCCTTACTATGCGGGTTGACTGCACTCTCGCGAAGGGGAGTGGGGGAGGAGGCTCTCGGGGATCGATCGCCCAAACATTGGGACGTCTCTGGTGCTTTTTGGGCCTCCGGAGGCGTTGCGTTGACCTCCGCGGGTATTCGGGGGCCTCCAGGAGACCTCAGGGGCCCCCTCAGGCCGGAAGAGGAGGCGGAGGCGGCGGCTGAGGAGGAGGGGGAGGAGAAGGTCGAAGACGTGGACTCTAGGATTCTAGGCTGGCCTCGCGCGCGTCCGCGTCGGAGCACGAGGTCCAGGAAAAGGGAAAAACAGGTAGCCACCAACGGCGACGGCGACCGCGGAGGGCGAGACGGCGACGACACTTCAGACGACCGACGGGACACCCGCAGCGACGCGAACGGCGACGGCGTCCCCGTTTCTAGCCCTCTTCAATTGTCGCCCTGACCAGTCGTGCAGCCGTGCGACGGCAGATCGTCCATGCCCGACTGTCCGATGCCACGCGTCGCGGGCGGGAGGGTGTGGGTCACTACCTCCTCATACAGTGGAGGCCACTCCACAAGAAGCCTTCCACACGAAACCCAAACCTGATACCCCAGAACGTCCATTGTTTTTTGGTGTGGGAACGTCGCGCTCTCCATCGCAAAACCATCGAAACCCAAGAAACCCAGGGACCCTGGAGGTAAGCAGGGTGTCTCTTGGCATGGGCCTCCACTGGATGTCACGGGTGTCCCTGGGCCGGGAGTGCCAATGGGACGTCTCGGGATAAGGAGACAGATGCCAGGGAAGGGAAAGGAGGTGAGGAGCAGGAGAAGTGGCGAGGAGGAGCAGCCGCAGGCACGATGACGATCGGGAGAAGCAAGAGACGAAATGCCTTCCGACTCAAGCATACCATCCTGCCCGCGTGTACTCTGACCTGCTCCCCCTGCTCGTGACTCTTCTCCTCCGTGCCCTCGCCCGGCTGGACACCGTCCCAGACCCCGACGTAATGTTACCTTTGTTTGTTCTTCTCTTTTCTCAAGAAAAAATCCTCGACCCACAGAGGCTTCGACCAATTTCAAGGATCGGCTTTTCATCCCGAATCGTTTCCTGACGGCCTCGAGGCCCGGCAGGGGCCCCCAACGGCCGAAAATAGCGAGCAAAAACTCCGTCGTGTTTTTTTCATGACTCGAAGGGGTCTGGGAGGGAGGGAAAAGATCGATGCCCCCCTCCAGCGTGCGTCCTTCTCGCGGCGGAAGGAGGGGTCGTGGGGCGCACCTCCTCCTCCTCTTCTTACTCCTCCTCCTCTTCTTACTCCTCCTACTCCTCCTCCTCATATTCCTCCTCATATTCCTCCTCTTCTGCCTCCTCCTCCTCCCCCTCTTCCTCCTCCTCCTCCTCCTCTTCTTACTCCTCCTCCTCCTCCTCTTCCTCCTCCTCCTCCTCCTCCTCGCCTCCTCCTCGCCTCGTCCTTTTCGACCCCTCCTCCTCCTCCTCCTCCTCCTCCTCCTCCTCCTCCTCCTCCTCCGCCTCGTCTTCCTCCTTGGAACCGTTGGGGAGGCAGCGGGCGCCCGTTTCCTTTGAGGCGGCCGCCCGCTTCGAGGGGCCGCCCGCGGGGCCGCCCGCGCGGGGCGCCCCCCGGCACCGACCCCCACGGGCGTCTCCCAGCAGGCGCCCGCCCCAAAGAGGGCTCTCCGAGACGACGCCTGACACCAGGGCTCGACCTAAACGATGTTCCCAAACCCCCTCGAGTAATGAAAATCATGACAGGATGTTTTTCACCATGTTCGGGGCCTTGGGACCGTCAAAATGACTAAGGATGAGAGTCCGGTCCCGGGGAAGAGGTCCAGACCTCTAGGGGGTCGACGTTGTGAACGAATCTCAACGTCGGGAATCTTGGTAAACAGTATTTTCCATTTTCGTGTTGTGTTCGTTTTCCCCTGTTCTAACATCGCTCTGCCTTTGCCGAAAAAATCAAAGCGAGAACGGTCCACGAGATCGCTAAAACACCGTTTGGGTCGAGCCCTGCCCGGCACAGGAGGACGGCAGCGGCGGCGACCCAATATATCCGACCTCTTGAGTTTTTCAACACTGGGTCCCCGGAAATCTGGTTCCTCCCCCAGGAGCCAGCGTTTCGTTCCGAGCCCCTTTTTGGACGGCCCCGGGGCCCAGCGAGGGCCCCTAGAGGCTGTACGCTGAGGAAGACATCCACCCTGATTCTCTCATTACGTTGGAGGTCTGGTTTTTGGGTAATCAGCCGTTCGGAAAGATCCAGGCACCCCGGGAACACCCGCGGCGAGGCGCAGCCGCTGGAAGGCATCCCGAAGCTGGCAAACCGGCGAGAATCGACGAGAATGCCCGAAGACTCCGAACCTCGAACCTGAATTGTTTTGTTGCAATGCTTTCGAGGTCTAGGGCCCTGTGTGGACAAAATTGCGACTCCAAGATCTCATGAGCATCGTTAAACAGATCCCTACGTATCCCAACTGGCCTGGCCTGGTCCCCACTTGCCGATGTACCCCCCCAGGTGGGGACACAGGCTGTTCCCTTCGGGTTTCGAGGGGCCTATCCCGATATGGACCGCTTGAACGATGCTGGTCTCAGGGTGCCGTCCGCGGCGCCGGCGGCGACGAAGCCACGGCAGCGGCGCGGGGGCGGCGGGGGCCGCCTGCGCGGGCCGCCCCGCAGGCGGTGCCCACCCGCTCGAGGAGCGCGGCGTCGAGGAGGGCGCCTTCGGCGTCGGAGCCGCGACGGCGGGCACCGAGCGGCGCCTCTCTCGGCCACGCGCAGGAATGACCCTGGGCCAGAGTTGGCCTCTGGCCTCTGGTGCGCGGCTTTTGGCGGGGCCGAGCACCCACGCGCAGGCCGCTGCGATCGCGTCGCGTTCAGCGATCGTGGAACGCCCAGGGGCGCGGACGAGCGGTCACTCCAGCGAAAGGTCACTCTTGCCGATTAGGGGAGGAGGAGGAGGAGGAGGAGGAGGAGGAGGAGGAGAAGGAGGTGAGGGACCCCGACTCCGCAATCAGAGCTTGCCTCTGTAGGGGTCCTAGCGGATTCATATGGTTAGGTGAGGTTTGGCGCCGATTTCGGCAGCACGCCCGGGTGCCCGGGGCCCTGGTGCCTGGTAGCCCTATAGCCATATAGCCGTATAGCCCTATAGCCCTATGGCCCTACAGCCCTATGGCCCTACCTATAGCCCTATAGCCTTATAACCCTATAGCCCTACCTATAGCCCTATAACCTTATAAACCCATAGCCTTATAGCCCTATAACCCTATAGCCCTCTCGCCCTATAGCCCCATCGCCCTCTAGCCCAATAGCCCTATAGCACTATGGCCCTATAGCCTCATAGCCCTATAGCCCTATGGCTCTATAGCCCTATGGACCCATAGCCCCCTCGCCCTATAGCCCCATAGCCCCATAGCCCTCTCGCCCTATAGCCCTATAACACTATGGCCCTATAGTCTTATAGCCTTATAGTCATATAGCCCTATAGCCTTATATCCCTATTGCCAAATCGCTCTATAGCTCTATAGCCCTATCGCCCTATCACCCTGTAGCCTTATAGCCCTATAGCCCTATGGCTCTATAGCTCTATAGGCCTATAGCCCTATGACCCCGTCTTATAGACCTGTAGCCCTATGATCCTATAGCCCTATAGACCCATAGTCCGATAGCCCTAAACATATTCGGAATGGGCTTGTCTCCCGTACCATTTAATTCACATTGTGGACGCTTCGGGACTTTCCTCTTCAGCGGTGCAGCAGCAGCAGGAGGAGGAGGAGGAGGGGACCCGTGCGCGCGCGAACCGCAACGAATGCCGCTGGCTCCAGGCTGCTGCTACGCTTATGTGGCAGAAAATGGTCCCGCGAAGCCACGAGCCAGATGAACTGGACACTGAGGCCGTCCACGATTCCAAGCCAAGCTTGTTCTGATGGCAAGCTAGCAGCAATGCATAAGGAAGACGAGGAATGCCATGGGCCGCTGTAAAAACTGCGGACGTTGAGGACTGACTGATACTGACAGTACAATGCCGAAGCTGATCGACCAAATGTGCAGCTCGTCACAAGCATGCAAGACAACACCGCGGCGGCTCGAGGAGAAATATTGCTTGTCGCTGCTAGCAAGTGGCTTCCGTTAGGACCTACCTGCAAGAATGACAAGCGATCTGCACGCTTCCGTTAGGACTACCTGCAAGAACCCATGCGCCGGCTGTTGCTCTCACATTCGTGGAGCATTTCCGATAAAAAAGATCATGTGGGTGGCTGCGGTGCTCAGTCGCAGCGATGGTAAGGATACGCGAGGTAGGAAGACAGGAGGAGAGGCAAGGAGGCGGAGCAAGGAGGAAGGGTGGCACCGACGAACAAAAATGGCAGAGGTTGCTCTTACACAGGCCATCAGAGCAGCAGCTGGTACCCTACGGCGGAGCACACACACACACTCCCACACGCGCACACACACATCCCCCCACACACATCCCCCCACACACACAGACACACACAACACACACACACACATACACGCCCGCGCCGCCCGCCCGCCCGCCCGCCCGCGCGCGCGCGCGCGCGCGCACGCGCCCGCGCCCGCGCCCGCGCCCGCGCCCGCGCCCGCGCCCGCGCCCGCGCCGCGCACGCGGCCGCGCACGCGCACGCGCACGCAAACACACGCAAACACACACGCACACACGCACACACGCACACACGCACACACGCACACACGCACACACGCACACACGCACACACACAAGCACACACACACACACACGCGCGCACGCACGCACGCACGCACGCACGCACGCACGCACGCACGCACGCACGCACGCACGCACACACACACACACACCACACACACACACACACACACACACACACACACACACACGCACACACACACGCGCACACACACATACACACGCGCGTGTCGGGAGGAGCCCCTCAAGGAACAATCAACAAGTCGGGCTCTCCGAGCACAACGACACGTTTGTGCTTACAATGGCGCTACCTCAGGAATCGATCAGCAGATCGGCATCCCCGATCACAAAGACAGCTTCGTGCACACGATGGCGCTGCCGCCCCCGTCGTCCCCAGAGTCGTCGGAGTCGTTCTTGTCCCTGCCGCTGCGCCCGTGCTTCTGCGGCGACGCGGGCGACACCCCTGGCCTCGGGGGCGATGCCGACTGCGTCCGCGGCTTGCACTGGGGAGGGGGCCGCGGGCGGGACAGCGCGCGGCAGGCGGCCTCCACCAGCTCCGCCGCCGCGGCGCCGTTCCTTATCGTCACCCACTTCTCCATCAACATCCGCTGCCGCCGCCGCGCCGCCGACTTGGACTTGGGCGGTGCGGGAGGCTCCTGCGGGCTGGCCTTCGGACAGTCCTCGCTCGGGGTGAACTCGGGGACGTGCGTGATGCGGCCCGAGAAAGAAGGGAGCCCGCTGGCAGGGCTCTGAGGGGCAGCGGCGCCCAGGGCGGCAACGGCCTGACCGCTGGCCCTGCCGCCCACGCTTGGCGGCTGCCGCAGCGGCGTCCACACCGTTGCCCGCGAGTCCTCCGACAGGTCCGCCGAGCTCCAGCTCTCGGAGCTGGCGCTGGACGTCCAGCTCCAGCCCCAGTGGTTCTGGTCGTCCTGGCTGTCGTGGCCGTCCAGCAGCAGCCCAAGGTTGCTCGGAGTGCTGCCGCTGGTGCTGCTTAAATCCCTGCTGGCGGTGGTGGACACCTCCGCTGGCCACGAGTGCATCAACGGGCACTCTTCGCCCCGCCAGCACGTGCCCGACTGGAACAGCCTGCAAAAATGGCCTGGGGCGGCATAGATCGGTCTGCCCACGGGCGGGCCGGGCATGCCGCCGAGCTCCTGGGCCAAGCGCCCGAGGGCGGGGGCTCGGCAAATAGCGGGCGGGGCACGAGAGTACCTTGCGCCAAAATGTCTACGGAGGAGGAAGAGGAGGATGAAGCGAGGGCGCGGGCGGACCAAACCCGAGCGCGCCAGCCGCTGCTATGACATCGCATTCAACCATCTGGGACCTCTAGTGCTCCCACCAACAAGTCACTCTGGGGAAAGGTCACTCCTACGTACAGTCGGCTTTCGTCGTGCAAGTAGTGCGCGTTCAGGAAATATTCGTCGGCCCAACGGGCCAAAGGCATGTTTAACGCTCCTGTGGCAAATTTCGACTGGTTTAGTTCGCACACGCGTGGCGGTCTCTGGGGGTCGCAACAAGCAAAATACCCTGGGCGGACCCCGAGCAAATCCTGAGCAATTCCTGGGCGGACGGTGTCACGGGTGCCGGAATTTCCAGGGGCGGTCTTCGAAGCCCCCCAAGAGCACGAGGCTTCTAAGAGGCCACAATTCATTGACTTTGCTTAGATTTTTGAGCGATTTCGGCGTTACTGCCTTTTCTATCTTCCGACCGCCTAAGACGCACCATTCAGCACCCCAAATTTGTGCAATTCGGTCCATGAGGCCCCCAGAAAGGCCGCGAAACGGCACAAGAGGCCCAAGACGGCCCCAAAGGCCTCCCAAGAAGCTTCCAAACCACCCAGGAGGGTTCGAAGAGAGGGAACCCGAAGTGACATCTCGAACCCTTTTCCGACATATGGCCCCCCGACGCCGCCAGAAAGCCCCCAAGAGGGCCCCGGGAGACCTCTACAGGGGCCTCCGAGAGGCCCCGAAAGGTCCCCAAGACCCCACTAAGAGGCCCTCACGAGGCCCCAAAGATGCCCCTTGGTGGGGCAGCCGCACCTCCATTCCCCTTGTGGCACCCGAAAATACGAGAGATATGCGCTCCCAGGCTCCTGATGCAAGTGAAGGCTGCGAATGGTATGCGCCTCGAAGGCTCCTGGGTGGCGTGAAACTGCGGACGATTGGCACTTCCGAGGAGCCATTGTCCGTAGCACCCACTAATTGCAAAATCCGCGTGCAACCGAGCCCGCCGTGACTCCAGCTCTGCGGACTCACTTCGGCGGGCCCCCAGCGGGCCCTCGCCGTGTTGAACTTCGAGAACCGATGATGAGATGAAAATGACATGGAGGATGCTGAGAAGCATGCGTAAACGCATGCTAAGAACGGCCTGGCGCATTCCGCCAGCCGATTTAATCACTTCTCCGGGAGCCACTCCTGAATACAGGCAAAACGTGCTCCCAGCGCTAGGCACACGCGTGTAACAGTTCCTGGGACACGTTGAAACAAAAGGGGGATGCGCCCTCAGTGCTGCGGAAGCCTCGTCTCAGCGCACCCCATCACGCATTTCCTGTTTGAAATTATCATGGGACGCGTAAGAAATACGAGTGGGCATCGTCTTCATGGCTACGACACTGCAATTTAGAAGCACCGCACACGAATATCCTGCTCCGCACTCTACTGGGACACGTGAGAATACGAGTGATCTGCGCTACGAGGACCACGAAGGGCTCATTTCTATACAGCCCTCACGCATGTCCTGCCCTACGCTTTACTCGGACATGTAAAAATACAAATGATCTGCGCTCGCAAGCTCCTGGGACATGTACAAAACAACAGGTTTGGGCCTCGAGGCCCCTGGGAAACAAGAAACAACAAGTGAGTTGCCTTTTGCACGTTGATGGGAACCTCATTTCGGCACACCCCTCACGCGCTTCGTCAGCTAGCTTCCGAAACGGTTTTTTGGAACCTCAATTCGGCACACCCCTCATGCAGGTCATGCCCCGTGGACCCCTCAAGGCCTTTTAGCTGGCCTCTAAGACTGCCCAATCCTCCAGGGGTCGCAAATACGACTCCGAGACACATTGCAACGATACATACCGACCCTCGTCGAGGCAGCATCCCTGACACCCACTGGCTGCAGAACTTGCGTGCAAGATTCCCCCTCAGGGCCCGCCGTGACTCCAGCTCTGCAGGCTCAATGAGAAACCGTCCTGGCAAAACCCAAGATTTGGCGGCGCGCGCAAGGGAGAAAAGAAAGGGGAAAAGGCTTCTCAGAAAGAGGAAGCTTACTAGAAGGCACCAGCCTGACATCTATAGATAAGGCCCGCGCCTTCTAAGAAGCAGAGGTGCTTCTAAGAAACCCTCCCCCTCCCACCACCACCCCTTGCGAGCGGCCCAAGATCGCTGGAGCCACGTCTCCCGACATCGCGCGAAGCATAGCAGGCATCACGGGCCGAAATGCAGCAGCTCCGCAGCCACCGCGCCCTTGGCGAAAGACTACGACTCACACATCTTTCGCCGCTGGGGAGCGGTGTCCCCCCCCCCCGCCCCCGAGAGAGGACTGGGGGGGAGGGCCCTCCTCCTACAACCATGGCCACGGCGAGCCCACTGGCCGCGACGGGGGTCTCCGACCTGGACCCAAGGGGCGGCGTGGAAGTCAGCTACGGCGCCCAGAGTGGTCCTTAGTTCGGCGCCTTGTCTGAAATTCTGGGGCTAATCCTGACGGTCTTTAGATAACCCCAATCGGGGGTAACTAATGACTTTTCCCCGGTGGCCTTATTGAATGACTGGGGTCCTACCAGTAGGGGAAAATACTTATTTGTTCCGCGACACCCGCCGCGCAATGACGAGGAGGAGGAGGAGGAGAAGGAGGAGGAGGAGGAGGAGGAGGGACGAGGAGACGGAGGTTTAGGGTTTAGGACTAGTCCTACTCACCGCCGAAAGCAAAGGGGGGGACCATACAGCGGCGCTCTGAAAGTTTATTCCGATTTGAAAGGCACGGCGCCGCGCGAATGCAGCGCAAACGCTATGCTGGAAGGGCGCGGCAATGCATGCCCCCTGGACAGGCGAGAGCAGCCGCGCCCCCGGGCGAACCCCGATCCCGCGCGGGGCGCTATCCCGTTGAAATTGACTCACCCGGAAAACCGTTTTTTTGCGCAGGAAGTCATGAGCGGTCTGCCCATCGGCGGCTCCTTCGGACGAGGCCCAGAACCACCGAGAAACCGTTTTTGATCGGAAGTTCGAAGCGGTTTGCCCATGTTCGGTTTCTTCGGAGTGGGCCCGAAGACCTCGAGAACGACGTATGGGCTTGCTGGGCCTCGCCTCGCAGCCGACGAAGGCGTGCGCCGACGCCGTCCGCCGCTGAGCACGCTGCCGCGGCTGCTCCTGCTTGAACTTGGGGTTGTCTTTCTCCGGGCACTCGCGATGCCAGTGGCCCTTCAGCTTGCATATCCCGCATCTAGTGACCTTCATCAGCTGCTCCTTCGAGAGTCGGGGCCGTCTCCTCATGCCGCGGCCTCCTCCTCCTCGACCACGGTTGCCGCCTCCGCGTCCTCCTCGATCTGGTCGGCCGCCTCGACCCTGAGGTGGAGGGGGGGCCGGCCCTCCAGAGCGCGGCCGCCCGAAACACTCGATCCTGACGAGCTGCTCGTTTCATGTCTTTGTTATGCTTCCAGGTGCGGGTGTTGGACCGAGATTCGAACATGGCCATGGCCTCCTCCACCTGGTCCTCCTCGAAGTCTAGATCCTCAATATATGCCAGGAGTGCTGCTTAGTCCTCGCCGTCGCCGGTGCCGTCGTCGCCTTCCAAGTCGAACTCGTCCTTAGCCTCTGACCCCAAACCGACCTCCGACCGACCAACAGGGCACGAGGGGAAGGGAGAGCTGCCACTGGCGGCACCGGGCTCCTCAGCCTCGGCGCCTGCTAGCAGTGAGGCCTGCCTTCCTCCCGGAAGCATTCGCTCTGAGCCGGACGCGTCCACTTGTCGGAACGCCCAGCTCACGCTCTCAAAATCTAGCCGACCAAGCGTTTGCGTGCGAAGGTTCTGCATCACCTGGGCAGTCAACCCAGAGCCTTCCTCGAGCAGAAACCCATTGATCTTCGAAGAAACTGTGAGACCATGGGCCTCAACCTCGAGGAACTGCGCCTCGCGCCGGGCCGCAAACTGGGTGAGAGACTCCTTCTGCTCACGTGAGGCTTCGTGCAGCGCCTTTCGTCCACTCCGCCTCAGGTCATCTCCTTCGCGTTCACCGGTCATGAGGTCCATCTTCTTCAGGACGGCCTCTAATCCACTCGTCGCTGGTCAGCACACGCTCTGGAATGATGTCAAATTGAGACTGCATGTTCCACTCGAAGAGACGAAGAAACTTCTCGGATCTTTTCCACGTCGGTACGTCCGTGTTGGTGTTCCAACGACGGAAGGCTTTGCGCCAGGCTCGGTAGTGGCCCCAGCCGGGCCATGCTGGAGGATCGCTGTAGTCGCCCTTCCCGAACCAGCCTCCGCCGTTGCTGGAGCCTTGCCACGGCCTCCAGCTCCACTCGCATGCCTTCCAATCGCCCGGATCGTCCTTCCAACCCTTGTCCATCCAACTGTCGTCCTTCCAACTGTTGTCCTTCCAACTGTCGTCGAGACCCTTGACGGGCCGCTTGTCGTCTGCTGCTGCCTGTCCGTCGTGCCGCCAAGGATCCCACTCCTTGGGCTCATCTGGACCCGCGGAGCCGGTGGTCGTGGGCTTGGCGGCCGGAACTGTCGGCGCCGTCCTGCATAGTCTCTCGGACTACTCCTGCCACCAGCTCTCTCAGCTGCCGAGCTGAGAGGGTCACCGCCCCCGGAGGATCGGTAGGAGCTGACGCCGCCCCTGGCGTGACTCCTGGCTCCTCCGTGAAGGCGTTCACGTTCCTGCCGTCGTCGTCGGGCATCTCCGCGTGCCGCGCCGCCCCATCGGCGCGAGCCTGCAGACAGCGGGGTCTCGCAAGCCGCGGCCGAGCCAGCCTCCCTCAGGGCTGCCCGCCGCCACCAATGGCCTCCCGCTGAACCAAGCTCCGCTACCAACTGCGGCAGCAGCAGGGGCAGAATATGTTTTTCCCTTGAGCCAAACGTGTCCCAACGGTAAGACACGCCCCATGAAACCTAAAGCAAAACCTACTCGTGAATATTCTGCACTCCTGCTACAATGGCAGTAAGCGCTGTCTTGTCTTGCGTAGCCGCCAACTTCCCAAAACACAGTAACTTCTTCACTCGCTCTTGCCCCTTGTCCATGGCAGCCGTCGTCCAAACTCAAACATCCGGCTCTTCATTCTTTTTTGCTGAGACACGGGCCCCCGACCTCTCGACCACTTCCCTGGGACTCGCCCATTTCATTCATCCCGATTCATCTTTTTCCCCCAATTAGGCTTGCTAAGGGGGTCTTATTTGGTTAACGGTTGGTACCTCCTATATTGTTACGTTGCCCGTTCCCCGGGGTTCCCCAGTTCCCCGGATTCCCCGCCCCAGGTGCCTCCTATTGTTATGTTGCCCATTCCCAGTGGGGCTCCCTGGGTTTCCAGGGTTCCCGCGCCAAGATATGCCAAGCAATGAGAAGCAATGCCAAGCAAAGCGAAGCAGTGCGAAGCAATGCCAAACAATGAAAAACACTGCCAAGGAATGCCAAGCCCCGGGTTCCCCGCCCCTGGTGCCTCATGCCGAGCAATGCCGAACAATGCGAAGCAATGCGAAGCAATGCCAAGCAATGCCAAGCAATGCGAAGCAAAGCCAAACAACGCCAAGCAATGGGCCCATGCAATCAGAAACTGGCCTTCTAATTGGGGTCGCGCCAGGTTCATTGACAGTCTCGTGACCCAATGCGGGCCTCAGAGAGGCCGAAAACGATGAAAAACCTTCGCCTCGATTTTTTCGCGACGCCGAACGTCTGGGATCTTGGCCGCCCGCTCGACTCCCCGGTCCCTTCCGCCTCCCAGGAGGGCACCAGGCCCCCGACGACTCGACACACTGGTCTTCGAGCAGCCAAGCCCACGGACCTCTTGCCCCCCTCCCCCTTGCCATGGCTCGGTCGTCCATTCCCCCTGCATTAGTCTGCTTCCTGCGTGTCTTCCTCTGCCAAATGATCCAGAATGTCACCGCCGAGAAGAGAATGCACACGTCCGAGCGATGCCGAACCACGGGACGAGTCGTACTCCTGGGCCGCGCTTTGAGAGCCCAAGAGCGCCAAACGGGGCCTCCAGAAGCCGAGCGCGCAGGCAAACCGGAAGTCGAGTGTGCGCGCGCGCTGTGGAGATCTCAGCGCCCTGGGCTGTTGGCCTTCGCTCATCGTTACTTTTGTGCCGTCACGTGTGGCCGTTCCCCTGGTTCCGACCACTGGCCCTGCTTACCAGACTGTCCGTCGCACGACTTGCATGCAGTCTCCAGGAGTGGAGGCTCCCTGGCGCTTCCTGTCCCTGCCGCTCCCTGGCCCAATGGCCGCCTCACGGCTCCCGCCTGCTGTCCGTGTAAGCCTGTGCTCCCGCACACGCGCATAGGAATTCTCTTCTCTGAGCGTGGTCCGCCGCGCCTCTCCCGCTCCTGTTGTGCCTGATCTGGCCCCTTAAAACCCGTAGAGGGTGCCCACGGAACCTGGCGGTTCATGTGGCCCCCTTCCTATGCTTTTTATTTTCAGCATGCCTGCGCGTTCCGTCGCGAAAAAATATCATGTTGCAATCCCTGTGAATTCGGCCACAAAAAGAAGTCGTGTCGCACTCCTCCACAAAGGATTCCTGTTATATTCAGCCACACGGGGAATACCTTTCTATTCTGCCACAAAGGGAACCCTTTTGCATTCTGCCACAAAGGGAATCCTCTTGTACTCTGCCACACAAGAAATCCTTTGGAATTCTGCCACAAACGGAATCCTTTTTATTCCGCCACAAAAGGAGGAGTCCTTTTGTACACTGCAGCAGAAGAAATCCGTTTGCATTCTACCATAAAAATCCTTATGTATTCTGCCACTAGGGATCCCTTTGTATCCGGGCACAACAGAAATCCCTTTGTATTCCGCCACAAAGGGAATCCCTTTGTATTCGATCACAAAAGGAATCATGATGAAATTGCTTCAACAATTGAGAAACTTGTGTTTTCAAAGTTTTCAGCAATTGTTGATTAAACTATTGTTTTTCATTGCCAGGCACAGCGTCTCGGCAATTTTCAAGTCTAATTCTTTGGCCATTGCCAGGCACAGTAATCATAACATAGTTTAATGGTTTCCCAAGTATGGGTAGTGTTTTCAGTACGAAGCTGTGAACACACATGGTTTTCATATTTTCCAGTCGAGAAAATAGGAACACCTTGTGATTTCGCCCCATAGCCTTTACACAAACAAATCAGGGCTTTATTGTTTGTCATTGCCAAGCGCAACGTGTCAGCAAGTCTTAGTTGAAACTGATTTGTTCAAAGCCAGGCACAGCTAGCACAGCATTTTTAAGGATGTTCAACATATGGGGCGTGATTGTTGATTCAAGGATACGGACACATGAAAAAAACAATGGCTTGTTCCTACAGCTTTGGGTGGGATATACAAGAACGGCATATCTGTTCACGACTTCTTTCTTAACCATAATACCCATATTGCGAAATCATAAAACAAAAACCATGCCCCGTCCGCGTCCTGGTCCCAAGTCGCCGCGACAAAACATGCGCGCGCACGTGATCAGCAATGAACATGCCCCGAAACCTTTGGGAGGGGACCTAAGCTAGGAGGGCCAAGGACATTAAACATACGGGGTCGTTTGGTTTTTTTGGATTCCATAGACCGAGGCCACCAACATGTATAGAGATAACCCTAAGAACCGTGAACCTAAGTTAGGCCACGGATTCATTGTGTTATCCAGGTTATGGGGTTGTATTATGATGAGCACGCACGCGCCTTTTTCGTCACCGACGTTCATCATCCAGTGCTTGTGCCAGCAGAAGTCGTCCATGGCCGAGATGGCGGCCTCTGGGTCGGTCGCCTCCACGGAGCTGGGGAAAATGGCGGGAGGGGGGTGGCAAAACGCGAGGACGAGGCGGATGAGGAGGATGTGCTCCGTGCTCCGTGCCTCCCCCTCCCCCCCCCACCCCGCAGCATTACGACCTCCAGCCTCCTCCTCCTCATCATCATCCTCCTCCACCCCTCCTCCCTCCTCCACCACCTCCTCCACCTCCTCCTCCTCCTCCTCCTCTCCTCCTCCTCCTCCTCCTCCTCCTCCTCCTACTCCTACTCCTACTCCTACTCCTCCTTCTCTTCCCTCCTCTTCCCTCCTCCTCGCCCTCGCCTCGCCCTCGCCTCGCCCTCGCCCTCGCCTCGCCCTCTCCTCAGGAGAATGACGAGGGCGAGGTGGACGACGACGGGAGGACCCGGAGGAATGCACTGGAATGGAATGCCCCCGAGGGGGGAGTGCACATGACTAAATGTCCAGCACCTTCTAGAACTACTGGCCTCTATGGGAGGCTTCGCGAACACGGATACGCTTCATTAGAGCAGCCAGTCGCGGCTCGTAAGATGGGGCTGCCCCTGTGGCCGAAAAAATAGTTAGCACCACATTCGAGGACGAAGAGGGGGAGGAGGAGGACGAGAGCGAGGAGGTGGGGGGATCTCCTCGGAGGCGGTGCCTCCACTCGGGGCACACAGGATCGCTGCCCAGAGCATTTCTTCCGAGTGCCCCTCCTGCTCCCCCCTGAGGCTTGCCGCTGCCCTCCCAAGGCAACACGCCTCGCTTATAACCATCGGGGGTTGCCAAGAGGGCCTCTGGCCTAAGTGGCGCCCCCGGCTTTTCGCTCAATCTTGAATTCCCCACGATGGGGTCCTCTGGGCCTCGTGAGGGTTGCTCCGAGGAGGACGTGGGAGCCCACTTGGAGACCCCATAACGGGGGCACCCTGAGCCAAAAGGACCCCCGCCTCCCCCCCGACATCCGCTGGTATGTGTTTGTTGAATCCGCGGCCCCAGAAGTCTAGACCGTTTCCCCGGGGGTAGTTTTCTGTCCCAGATCCACTCTGGATGGTTACACGGGGCCCGATGACGCGCCCAAGGGGCCGAAATCGAAAGGAGCACGTCGAGATTGAGCACGTCATATCATCGGATATCTGGGCCTGGCACCACCCGACAGGAGATCCACGAGGCAAAGACAAATGCCACCTCTGCTGCAGGAGACCACGAGAGGGCCCGGCCGATTCCGGATCCGGCAGCGCACCTATCAGTCTCCGAGGGCACACATACACACATATGTGTATGTATATAAACATACATAGGTATATATGTATATATATATATATATATATACATACGCACCTCTCCGAGGGAGTAGAGCTCAGAGGCGATTAATGCGTCCGTCGTTCGCGATGTTTCTGGCCGTTTCGCTCGGGACATCCTCGAAATTCTAAAAATCGGTGGCACCCCTCACGCAGATCGTGACGTCAGGGTCCAAAAACACATAGGATTTCCAACATTTTATCATAAAACCTTCAAAAACACATGGTAATTTCAATGATTTTGACTCCGATTCTCAGAGAATGGCGGTTTCGCCTGAGACATCCTCCCAAAATCGAGCCCCAGACCCCTCCTCGGAGCCTCCTGGGGGCCTCCTGGAACCTCCTGGGGCCTCCTGGGGCTTTCTGGACCTTCTGGTACCCCAGACCCCGCCTCGGAGCCTCCTGGAGTTCTCCTGGGCCTGCTGAGGCCGCCTGGGGCCTCCTGGGGCCTCCTGGGGCTTCAGAACTACATGCACACACAGAGACACAAATCACGCCCAACACATCACACGCTAGACAAACATAACATACACACACACAACACCGACAACACGCAAAAAGCACGCACCACACAAAGCACACATCACACACACAACACTCACAATCCTGGGGCCTCCTGGAGCCTCTCCTGGTATCCAAGTCGGGCCTCCTGAGGCTTCCTGGGGGGCCCTGGTACACACATCGCAAGGTGTGGCAACCCCACTTGCGCTCGAGTGCGACTTCGCTGTTGCATGTCACTCCTGCTTCAAACGCCCCTTCAGCTTGTTGTATGAGCCTGGGCACACACGTGCCATTTGTACACATATATATATATATATGTATATACACATACGAATACAGAAGATACACCTTCCATAACAACTGAGGCAAGACAGCCGAAAAGCCGTTCGGCGACCCGGCTAGAGCAAGCTGACGCCGGGCAAGGCAAGAAGACTCACGCGATGCAGCACAGGCCACAAGCCGGCCAGAATCAGGACGACAGGGGGCCAGCGAGGCGAGGGCAAGAGGTGCCGAGGAAAGCTACAGGGGGAAACGAGGAGCGCGCAGCGACAGCTAACAGCCGAGGGAGGCAGACGGACAGACGCGAGGGCCAGCGGGCCGACACACACACACACAGCACCGACCAGCAGGGGGGCCGCCCGGCTTCAGAGCGACGCCGCCCGCGCACTCGCCGCCCACCTGAGGGCGCTCGGCCGTGGGCCCTCGGAGACCGTCGGAAGACTTCGGAGGCCTCCCCGATCATCTCGTCCTCCTCCTCCTCCTTCCCTTTTTTGGTCCTCCTCCTCCGCTCTCCTCACCTCCTCCTCCTCCCCATCCTCGACGGCGTTTCGGTTTTTCGAGACACGGGTCCCCGACCTCTCGACCACTTCCCCGGGACTGGTTTTTCATCCCGAGCCGTTCTGTTGACAGCCCCGTGGCCCGTTCAAGGCTCCCTGAAGGCCGAAAGAAAACGGAATCCTCCGTCTCGATTTTGTCGAAACGCCGGCTGTTTTGGAAGGACTCCAGCGGCCTCCGGAGACCTCCAACCTCCGGGGAAGCCGGGGGTCAAAGGCGGCCTAACCGACCCCTAGCAACCGCTCCCTCCCGTGACGTCCCCCTCGCCACACCCCGAGACGCATGTATGCAGCAGGAGGGAAGCTTGGAAGGCGAGGGCCCCGAGGGGCCGAACGCTACAGCCAGACCTAGGACAGAAGAATATCCTTCAAGAACATGAAAACCTCCACGGGCCAAAACACACACACACAACACTCATCGGTACCCTCCCCAGAATGCACAAGACCATCCCAAAAACGCGATGCGCATCAGGGTACCCTCCCCGAACCGACCTCGATCGTATACCTTGGGCCGACCGTACGACAAATAGCCGTCTCGTTTTTTCGATCCGCTGGACGCCTGGGGCGGGCGCCGACCCCGACGGGCGTGCCCGCGCACGAGTGCGGCGACGAGGGCGCCTTCGACGCGAGCAGGGCGGCGAGGAAGCGGTCCTCCGTGCCCGCGTGGAAGGTGAAGGGGCCGTTCCCTGCCGTCGGGGCTTCGTAAACGGGGGCGTCGCTGAAATCGGCGGCGCGCCCAGAGGGGAGGTGAGAAGGAAAAGGCCTTCTCAGAAGGCGGCAGAGCTTCTCAGAAGCCCTCGCGCCTGCTGAGAATTGTTTTGTGTCTTCGGCGAAGGCTCAGAAAAGTCAGAAGACTTCTTAAAGGCCGGGGGATTTCCGAGCCTTCTGAGAAGGCCCACCCTTTCTCACTTCCCTCTCAAGCTCGCCGCCGACAAACAAGGGCCTAAGGTCTTCCATCTGCCCTGGACTACTAGGCCCCCGTCTACGGCGCCCAGGGCCCCCGAAACGCGGGCATAAACCAAATCGGCGTTCCCCGTGACCCCCCGTGTGCTGTGCCCCCATCTCCTGCGCCCTGAAGCTGCCCGCTCAGCGTGCCGCCGGCCGAGGCATCCCGTGGGCCCAGATCGCCGACGGTTCCTCGGTCCTGCCCTCGGCTGCAGTCTCGTGCGCTCGCCTCCGTTCTTCGATTCCGACTCCTCGATTCACCTGTGTTTTTCTGTCAGGGCTTCGGCTCTCGGGGGCCACTGTCGGGCCCTGCAACCCTCCTCGAAATCCAACGCAAGTTCTGAGAGTTGGTCGACGCGCGAAACGCGGCCCAATGGGTCAGATGTGTGTGTGTGTGTGTGTGAATGTGTGTGTGTGTGTGTGTGTGTTTGCAGTCGCCACTTTCGGCGCGAGCATTGGAATCGTGGGGCCGTGGGGCGCCGCCACGTCGCAGGAAAAACTTCTGCCTGACTTCGAGGAGGCATGTGGGGCCATCAAGCATGGGTCTGGGTGGAAAGACTGGCCCCGTGGTCGGGAGCTCTTGGGCCGCAGGCGTGACACAAGCACCTCCCAGGACGCCAGGGAAGGTGAGCGCCGGCAAAGAGCGGAGGGAAGCCTTCTGGCCGAGGCGATCCTCGGCAACGAAGAGGCTCTTCCCGACCCGAGCCTGAGGAGCGGCCCGAAATCCAGCGCCACGTCCTGGCCCACAGTGGTAGTTTTTCGGCGGCGAGCGAGGGGCGGAAGTGAGAAGGGGCGGGCCTTCGCAGAAGGCTCGGAAGTCGCCTGGCCTTCTGGGAAGTTTTCTAAGCTTTCCCCGAGGCCACAGGAAACTTCTCAGAAGGCGCGATGGCTTCTGAGAAGTCCAGCCGCCTTCTGAGAATACCTTCTCCTACTCACTTCCCCCCCTCACTCGTCGCCGAGTCTTGGACGCCCGAACTGAGCACAGACAAAATGGGGACGATGGCCAACGACGGAAAGTGTCCCAAACCGACAGCGGCCGCTGTTGGGCAAGCGGCCTCCTGCCTCCTGCCTCCAGTGGACAACGCCCGCGGCAACGCTAACAGCGAACCCGGCTCAAATGGACAGGAACTGCTGTGGGCCTTCGTACCCATGCTTTCCGTACCCACGTCGCTCGTACACAGCCGTTATTTCTGCGCTTCGGCCGCACGCGAAGCCTGACCATACCTCGTGCTCTCGCGGCCGTGGGGGGGCGGGCGGGGCAGGGGCGGAGGCTGGGGGACTCTGGGGAGGTACCCAGGGGCCTCCCGGAGCCCTTGGAGGTCCGAGGTCCCTCAGCCCGTGGACCCACACAAACGTGGCAAACATCGTGGGACGGGAGGCCGGGAAGAGCTCGAAACGTTGATGCTCGGGGGCTAGGACGGACTTGGCGTGTCGCGCCGAAGCGCCTCTCGCCTGCGCGGAAGCCCGCCCGCCCGCTTCAGTGTCCCGCCCGAACCGCTCGGTAGGGTCCGCCCGCCCGACCTGCCAGCCAGGGTCCACCCGCCCGACCCGCCCGTCAGGGTCCGGCCACCCGGCTTGGCCTGTCCTGGTCCGCCCGTTCGCGTCCCGGGCCCGCCTGGCCCGCCTGCTAGGGTCCGCTCACCCGACCCGCGCGTCAGGGCCCGCCCGCGCGACCCGGCCGTCAGGGTCCGCTTGCCTAAGTTGTTGCTCGTCTCTCCAAAACCTCCTGCTGAATCTTCTTCGCCCTCAATCCTCCGTCCTTTCTCTTGCGCGATACTTTCGCGTTTCCTTCTCCCTTCCTCGCTCTGTCCATTTCTATGTGTCCCCTCCTCCTCCTCCTCCTCCTCCTCCTCGGCCTCCTCCTCCTATTTCAGGAGGCGCGCCAACTGCGCGCGGCAGGCACAGGATATAGACCCCAAAGAGCATACGATCGAAGACCGCGAGGGCGAGTATCGAGGGTTCGGGGGTATACATGTTGAGTGGAACAGGACCTTCTCAAACGAAGAACCTCGAACCTCGCCCCACAACCTCTCTGTACGCTGGAATCAAATACTGGGCCAAAACAATCCCCCAGCTCGCTCCCCTACAGAGCCCCCGTGACGTGAACATGATGGACGGCGCCATTTTTCTGCACGCTGGAACCAAATACTGGGCCAAATCAATCCCCCAGCTCAGTCCCCTACAGAGCCCCCGTGACGTAAACATGATGGACGGCACCGTAGACCCCAAGAAGAGGATACGATCGAAGACAAGGAGTGCGAATGCCGAGTGTTGAGAGTGCACGTGTTGAGTAGAAGACGAGCATAGAGGAGGCAGGGACAGACAAAGCCCTCGCGCAAGAGTCCACACGAGGGGACTAAGCGGGTTAGGGGCCGGAGCGCCCCGGAAAAAAACGAACAGCATTCAGCTGATCAGCTGGTCGAGAAGGAGGAGGAGGGCGAGGGAGGAGGAGGAGGACGAGGGGGTAGAGGAGGAGAAGGAGAAGGAGGAGGAGGAGGAGGAGGGAGCAGGGAGGAGGAGGAGGAGGAGGAGGAGAACGAGCGAACAGCACTCAGCTTATCCTTGTTGCTGCGCGACGGAAAAACGAGGGGACTTGAAACCATCATATCCGTCGGAGACCTGGGCAGGGAGGCGCATTCCCTGGCGAGCAGATGCTCCAACGACCAGCCCGCGGAGGTGGGACGGCCACGGCTGCCATAACACGGTGCGGCGGGCGCCGCGCGCGGTCCTCGGGCGCGTCCCATCGCGGCAGCTCGAGGGCTCCCCACGATACGGTGAAGCCATGAGATGGTAAACCACTGGACAGGAAACCCAAGGCCCGGGAGCTGGCGGAACTCCAATCTTGGATTGGCCATGGACATCGCCGCCGCCCTCATCAGGCAACCGCGATCCGGCTTTACAGACCTCCCCATGATGGTAAGCTAATTACTTGTTTCCCTGGGCTTAGTGGCGGATTGGGACCCCAACAATCCTTAAACATAATTATTCGATCGAGGGGGCGATGAGGATCCCTGATGATGAGGGGAAGAACGAGAAGGGGAAGGGCAAGTTTTATTCCCAGCCGAGAGCCCACCCGCCAGTCGAAAGAAGGTGGGAACATGAAGTAGGAAGGCAGCGAAAGTAGATTGAGTTCGGGCCCGCCCAACATGTTACAACATATAGCAACAGGATGTAGGTTCCTTAAGCAAGACGGCGCTTGAAGCAAATTCGGATCTGGGAATCCAAATATACCTACTTCCGACGACCAACGTACAGGGGTGGGTGGGGGGGTACCAAAAAAGAATCGATACCGCTACTCTCCAGACCTCTCCCGGGGCGTGTTCTAATCGAAAGTTCGACGTGATTCCAGCGGTGGTGACTAGGACCTCCCAGCTCCCAGGAGGCCCAAACAGAGGAAAACGAGGGAAAGGTAGCGGTAGCGGTATATTTTCCTTCTCTGAAGGTAGGGGCGGAGCGGGGTGGGGAGGAAGACCTCCCGCGGTTGAGGAACTCTCCAGGGTCTGAAGCCTCCCGGGTGCATTCCTTAACGAACGCCCCAACCGCAGGCTCTCGAGGGCAGGCGGCCACCTTCTGGAGGGGGTGGGGGGACCAACGCACGGCTCTCGCCGGGAAGCAGCGAGTCCTGAGGTGAGGGGCAACGATAGGGGGGGACTGGCATACGGGGGAAGGCATCGACCTGGAATCGGCGATGCATCGCCGACATGTCGGCGACAGGCCCCCGATAGCGAATCCGCACGCTCCCGGGCGGGTGGCGGCTACCGGGCCTCTCTCGGCGATCAGCCCAGGGCTCTCCACGGGCCCCGGACTGCCAGAAGACGACTCGGGACGAGGAGCTGGTCCGGGGGGAGAGGCCCCGAGGTCCAGGACCCGTGGCCCACGGGACCCGCCTGTTTTCTGCCAAGGCTGCGGAATGGGTTCGACGTCGCTTGCTGCGCCACCCAGATTCGCGCATCGCGCCCCGCCACGCGCGATTATCTTCGCGCCCCCGCGGGTGACTTGGGCTTACAACTCGAGCGCGCTGGGGTTTCATTGGACCACTTGCTCGATCGAGATCGGGGTCTTGAATCGCCTGGGTGTCTCAGAGGACCTGGGGTGGCCGTCCGCTGCACAGGAGATCCCAAGAAGATCGGGCAGACCTGCTTTGAAAATTCTCTCGGGGTCGCGATGGGCAGGATCACAAGGAGGGGAGGTGATCGCGTCTTCCTCCACCCCCTCCACACGGGCAGCTGGCCTAGTTACTATGTGCCTTCACGGGCTCATCTGCTTCTTCCAATGCCCCTTGCCATCCTCATTGCCTCACTTGCTGGCCAACCTTGCATTGGGCCGCAACGCCTAAATCTTTCAGTGGCTGTTTCTTTTTGCATGGACTTCCCGCAACAATGCTTGCATTTAGGGTCTCTTACCTGTCCTGTAAGGAGCTGGGCCTGTCTGTCGGTCTGGCGGCTATGTTGCCGCCGTTGCCGCCCCGTCGCCGCCTCGTCGCCGCCTGTCGTCTGGGCCTGTTTGTCGGTCTGGTGGCCATGTTGCCGCCGTCGCCGCCCCGTCGCCGCCCGTCGTCTGGGCCTGTTTGTCGCTCTGGCGGCTACGTTGCCGCCGTCGCCGCCCCGTCGCCGCCTCGTCGCCGCCCGTCGTCTGGGCCTGCCTGTCGGTCGCCGCGCTTGTTGCCGCCGTCGCCGCCCCGCCTCCGCCCCGCATAGATTGCACAACATAGATGGCAGAACCTAAAAACCGACTGAACAGATGGCACCGCGTATATTGCGCACCACATAGATCGCGCAACATCGATTGCACCAAATTGGTTGCACCGAAGCGATTGCACCATATGGGTGGCACCACGTAGATGACACACCGTATGATGCACAACGAAAATTGCACCACATATATTGCACCACATAGGTTGCTGTACTGTTCCACATATCGTGCACATCATTCAGTGTGCCTCGTCGATCGCACCACATAGATTGCACAACACTGGTTGCCCCACTTTGAATATCCCTTAAAAAATGACGGTCGACGCCGCTCGGAATTAACGGCACCCCTTTTCGTATTGCAATTTACATATGACATGCCCCATCGTCCATCCTATAAATGAACTCGTACCATCCCAGGCGGGCCCGTACTGGTACACCCCGTCATTTACTGCACAAGGTACGCACGCACATTCTGCATCAACATCAAAATTCTCAACAATCCTTTGCGACAAACGGGACGAAATGCACACGCGCGCGTCGTCGCGCGCGCATGCCAAAAACCTCCAAGAACCCGGGGTTACGTAGAGCTGCCACAACCAATTATCCCGGAAGCCAATGAAACACCACATGGCTTCGCGACAAAAATGTGCAAACAAAATTTCTGCACGAGCTCTTGCGCATCCTTAAAGAAACCATCGTTTGTCCAAAGAAAAAATCAATGCTACCCAACGAACCTCCCGCGCGCTCGTGTCGGAATCGTTCGAACGTCGTGGCGCGCGTGCTGTCGCAAAACCTTTTTTTGCAAACGAAATGCACACGCGCGCGTCGTCGCGCGCGCATGCGGAAATCCATCAAAATTCTTCGGTTTCGTCAGGATCTCAAAACCGAGTGCCCCGGCCACATATGACAACACATGGCTTCGCAACATCAGTTTTCAAAAATGCCTGTGCTCGCGCTCGTGCGAACAAAACCATGGGTTGTTCGACATTGTCATTGAAAATTGCCAAACCGCCCACTCGCGCCACACGTCAGAATCACCTTTGCGCGCGTGTTCGGGGGGGCACGCGATCCGTGTCAAATGACACCATGCGGGCCACCGTCGCGCGTCGGGCGCGCACGCATGTCGAACTCCCCCCAAAACCTTCATCACCGACGCTGGGGCGCCGTCGTCGTCGTCGCCGACGTGAACAGCATCGGCGCCGTCACTGGCCTTGCCGTCGTCATTGTCATCATCCTCGCCACAGCGCTCGCTACCATCATCATCGCATTTACCGTTGTCAACGTTGCCATGATACCGCGCCCGCCCAAGTCGCCGACTCGCACTGAAATGCCCGCTGGGAAGTGCCCAGCAATTAGCGCCACCACGGCCAAGTCGGTAGCGCCAAACTATCTGGCCGCTGCGCGCGCGAGCAAGCGCGGGCGATCATGGCCGCAGAGATGAACCAGCCAACCCCGAGCACTCATCGCAATCGCCGCCGCATGGGCTGTGCTAGCCAAGTTGCCAAATTGCGAATGGGTGGGTGGGATGATTGCGCGAACGATGGGAACGACAACTCAATGCGAAGAGGAATTCTATTCCTTCTTCAAAAGAATAACTGATTCTACGCCCTTCCCGAAGCCGGTTAGCGGTCCCCCTCGCGATATGAAATTCACATATGATTCTGGCCCCTTGCCCATTTTACACATGAGCTTATACAATCCAAGGCTGGCCGGTATCGAGACCCCCCGCCATCCTCTGCAATAGGTGCTATGTGCGCACTCTCGTTTTTCAGAAATCATATGTTTTCAAGAGCCCGTAGCAAAACATCGCGGATCGAAGTGCAAACGCGCGCGTCGTCGCGCGCGCATGGCGGCCGCCCAAGTCACCGGCTCGCACTGAAGTGCCCGTTGGGAAGCGCCCAGCGGTCAGCGCCACCACGGCCGCGTCGGTCGCGCCAAATCAGCTGGCCGTTGTGCGCGCGAGCATGCGCGGGCTAGCGCAACCGCTGAGATGCACAAACCAACGGCAGACACTCATCGCAATCGCCGCCGCATGGGTTGTGATAGCCAAGTTGCGGGTGGGTGGGTGGGATGTTTGCAATGGCATGGAAATTGTCAACTCGTTTGTACAAAATCAATTGCGCCACGTACATTGCTCCACGCAATGCACGACACGTGTTGCACTACAATTTCTGGACCACATACATTGCACAACGCAGACGGAACAAAAACATACATTGCGCAACGCGCGTGCAATCACATTGTTTGTTTCACACACACATTGCACCACATAAATTGCACCACGCTGAGCGCACAACACAGACGGTACACCGTACATTGCACAACGTAGATTATCTTGGTCAATGAATGGAATACCGCCCCCCTTGTTTTCAATCTGGCATGGGCTATCGCGTTTCACATTGGATTCCGCCCCATATTCCATTTGATATATGAGCCCATACCATTCCAGCCAAGCCGGCATCGACTCCCCCGTCATCCCTTTCTGATCACTATGCGCGCGCACTCGTCTACAAAGTCTTACCAATGTGCAACAACCATTTGCAAACAAAAGAAAATCCACGCGCGTGCGGTGTCGCGCGCGCGTGCCGAAATCGCTCCAAACACTGTAGTTTTTTTCGTTGGGGGGTCAAGATCGAGGCTTCCGCAAATATGAAACACCAGAGGCTCTGCCACGTGATGTTTCAAAAAAATTGTGTTCGCACTCTTACGCGTTCTCACGAGGCCCGACCACACGGGCCCTTTCGCGCGCACGTGCCGGAATCATTCGGATGCCTTTTTCGCACATGCTGGGGGGCACGATACCTGTCAAATATTGCCATGCGGGCCACTCGCGCGCGTCGGCCGCGAGCACCTGTCGAAATCACCCCAAAACCTTCATCACAGACACTTGGACACCATCATTGCCACCGGCGTGATCAGCATCGGGCCGTCATTGGTCTTGCCATCGTCAGTGTCATCCTCACCACACGCATCGCTACTGTCCTCATCCCGTCGGCTGTTGTCGACGTCGCCATAATACCTCGCCCGCCCGAACCACTGACTCGCACTGAAGTGCCCGCGCGTGAGCGCGGCCTGCGAGACACGATTGTACGTGCCCAGGGGTCAGCTCCACCGCGGTCGCGTCGGTTGCGCCAGACCGGCTGGCCGCTCTGCGCGCTAGCCTGCGCGCGCTAGCGCGACCGCAACGATGCGCCAGCCAACGCCAAGCAGTCATCGCAATCGCCGCCGCATTGGCTTTGCAAACCAAGTTGCGGGCGGCTGGGTGGAATGATTGCGCGAGCAGTGGAGCTGACATCTTCAATTTCGGCACGCCGAATTGCATCACATAGACTGTACCACGTAGATTCCACAACATGTGTTGCACCTCGTACGTGGCACCACAACTGCTGCGCAACATAAGCTGCACAACATAGCATGGGCTGCTCCGCATATATTGCACAACTTATGTTGTTAGAAAACAATGTTTTGAGGTCCACGTTGGCAAACATTTTGTGTTTGCTTCTCTCGAATCAAATTGGGCACCCGAATTACCCGGGATAGACCTGGTCCAGGTAAGGCCGTGTTTGGTGCCCGCAAGTGTGATCAGGGCAGACATATACTGGGCGATATCTCCGTGGGGCAGAATGTAGTCCGGGAAAGCTCGAGTCGAGTGCAGTCCAGAGCAGCTCCAGCGCGAAAGCTGGAGGCCCGAATCAAGAGTTAGCCCTGACCCCCCCTTCCCTGATAACTCGAGGTTCTGACAATAGCTGAAAACTCAGTCCCCAAAGGACATGATTTCCTCATAGCGTCGGCCCCAAAAGGTCTCGACCCATTCCCCAGGACAAGCACTTCATCCCGAGTCGTTTTGTTGACGGTGCCGAGGCCGGGTGAGGGCCCCCAGGAGCTGAAAATATCGAAAGCCCGTCGTCGCGATTTTTCCATGACTCGGGGCTCTGATCACTCGAGGCTCGGACAACAATTGGCGGCCAACCCAGGGGGGACGTGAGAGGAGGCGGGCCGTCTCAGAAGGCTCGGAAGCCCCCCGCCCATCTGAGAGGTTCTGTAAGCCTCCCCCAAAAACGCCAAACACTTCTCAAAGTGCCGGATGGCTTCTGAGAAGCCCCGCCGCCTTCTGAGAAGGCCTTCTTCTTCACGCTTCCCCCCCTCGCTCGCTGCCGCCATTTGGTTTTATGAGGGTCATGACTCGGATCTCCGGCGGGCGTTCGGGACGATCTGGGCAACCCCAGAACGTTCGCGGCGAGGCGCAGCTGCTGGTGAGCACCCGAGGCCGCCGAGAACCACCGAAACGTTCGAAAACCTCGAACCTTGAACCTCGAAGACGCAGATTTCCCACCCGGGTGCCCCCCTGGGCTCGCCACCGAAAAAAGGGAAGGGGGAGGGCTTGCGCCTGGCGGCCGTCCCTCCGCCCGCCGGTCCGCCTCCGGCGCGGGCGAGGCTCGCGCGCCGCCGCCGCCCGCGGCGCCTGGGCGGCCATCCCGCCGTGGAGGAGGCACGGCGATGCGGCGACGGTGCGGAGCAGAGGACACTGGAGGACTGTCGGGGTGGACGGAGTGCCGGGACGTGGGCAGGTATGCACCCGTGTGCGTGCACACGCACGCACGCACGCGCGCACGAACGCACGGACACATGCACGCACGCACGCACGCACGCACGCACGCACGCACGCACGCACGCACGCACGCACGCACGCACGCACGCACGCACGCACACACACACACACACACACACACACACACACACACACACACACACACCACACACACACACACGCACGCGCCCCCCCCCCCCCACACGCACATACATACATGTTTTAATCTAGCTACAGGTTTATGTATGCAGAAGCTGTATGTGCATGCATGTATACATACCCATGTGTATGTCGATGCCCATGTATGTGTATGTGTATGGTCGAGCATGTGTATATGTGCATGTGGATGCTTCTGTATATATGTGTATGCGTATGTATGGCATGCGTGCGCATGTATATAGATATACACACTATGCAAGCGTATGTCCATGAATACGTACATGCATAAGTTTACATACGTGTATATGGGCATGCCCGTCTAACATAATGTTTGTGCCTTCATAAACGCAGTTGGACTTGCATATGACTATGTGTGTGTCTTGTACATGTAATCAAGCACATATATATATACATATATATATATATATGTATACACGCACCAACACTGGCGAGCGCGCACGCTATGCGCGCGCTCAAGTTCCAGCGCAGGCCAGAGAGCGTTCCATACGCGAGTGCGGCTGCACAGAGGGAGTGCGGCTGCTGAGAATCGGCAATTTGGGCCCGTTGAGGCTCCCTGGGGGGAGCTCTTGGAGCCCTCTCTGGCCGTCTTGGAGACCTCGTGTGCTGTCGGCAGGGCAGCTCGGGTTGCCTTGGAGCAGTCGTGGACCATCTTGGGGCTCGCGTAAGCCTTTCGGAAGCAATCTTGGGCCAACTTTGAGGCCCCTTTGGGGATAGCTCGGAGACCGCCGGGGTCCGCCTGTGGCTGCCTGGGGCTGCCCAATGCCCAAGCCGCCGCCTGGGGCCGCCCAAAGCAGCCCGCAACCCCATGAGGCTCCGATGGCCTGGTCTTGGGCCCGCCCCTGGCCAACTGTGGCCGACCCGTTGTCATCGGCGTCGTCGTCATCGTCGTCGTCTTCTGGCTGCGGGCAAACTTGTTCGATCCGGCAGACAGCCCTGTGCCGAGTTAGAGCTCGTCCTCGAAAAACCGACGACATCCAACCGACAACAACGGCTAAGGAACGAAAAGGCATCTCGATCGAGAAACGGGTAGTTGGTGGACCATCACGAAAGCCTAGAGTCAGGAGCTCCCGAGCGGGAGATCAGCCGGACCAAATCCAGGTGACGACCGCAGACGGACCCAGGGTTACTGCCTCTGCTAACTGCATACTAGGGCTTGTTATTTCTCGGTTGTTAGACTTGCAACATACTTTCAAATTGCTTATAGGATTTGCGAGCACGGAAGCGGCTTCCAGAGGCAAATATAAACAAAACGCGGATCGTCGCGATTCTTTCTGCGACGCCCCGGATCTGAGAGTTCGTCCACATTCGTTCCGTTCCCGGTTCGACCCTATCCCCGGGGGTCATTTGTCGTCGCGGATCCATCGTTGATGGCCCCAGGGCCCGATAAACGGGCCCGAGAAGCCGACATTGAGGAGCAACGGCGTAACTGCAAATATCAGATCGTTGGAGATCGCAAGTCCGCCGATCCGGCGTGTGAGTTTCAAAAAGCTCAAGCTAAAGCTCAGGCTTCAACCTAGAGCAAAAGCTTCAGCTCAGCTGGGGGGGGGCCGTTGGGGCCCTGCCGGGGAAAGGGGATTGGGGGATATGGGGGTGCGCCAATTCCCCGGTTCCGGTGGGGAAGGGAAGTTGCGCCAGTTCTCCGGTTCCGGAGGGCGGAAGGGGAAGTGCAATTTTCCGGTTCCAGGGGGGGGGGCTCCAGTTCTCCTGTTCCGGAAGAGGGGGTGCGGGGGGGTTGCGCCAGTTCTCCAGTTTCGCCGGGGGGGCTGGAACACATTAAAATCCGCCAGCATGTTCGACTTCAGCTCAGCAGGTGGTGGGAGGGTGCCAGAGTGGCTCTGCTGGGGAAGGAGGGTGGAGACGCCGAAACGATCACTCCAGAATGCCCGAGGTGGGCCCAACACGGCCGAAGAGACGGGCCCCAGAGAGGCCCAAGACGAACCAAAGAGGACCCCGAGAGGTCAACACCATTCAAGCACGAAGGGAAAATCAATGTTGTCGGCCTTCTCGCCTTTTCGCTTCCGATGGGTCTCTTTGGAAGGTCACAATGGCTCCAAGGTGGCTCCTCAGAACCCCAAGACGCGCCCGAGAGAGCCCCACGACGGGCCCAAGAGAGCCCCGAGAGGCCAACACCCTTCAACAACCAATGGACAAAACAGTGTCACTGGCCTTCTCGCCTTTTCGCTCCCGATGGATTCTTGAAGCCTGACGATGGGCCCCAGATGGTCCCAAGAACGCCCCAAATTAGGCCCAAGAGAGGCCCAAGACGGGGCCAAGACGGCCCCGAGAGGACAGCATCATTTGAAACACAAAAGGAACTTAACATGTTTGGCTTGCTCGAGTTTCCTCCAGATGGCTCCAAGATGAACCTTGAGAGTCCCAAGACGAGCCCAAGAGAGGTCCAAGACGGGCCCAAGAGGGCCCCGAGAGGTAACAGCATGAGAAAACCAAGGACAAATCAGTGTTCGTGGTCTTCTCGCCTGTTCGCGTTCGATGGGCTCTTGAAGCCTCAAGATGGCCCCAAGATGGCCCAAGATGGCCGATGGCCCATGAGAGCCCCATGACGGGCCCAAGAGTGGCCCAAGACGGGCCCAAGGTGGCCCAAGAGAGCCCCCGAGGGCCCCGCGAGGACGTCCAAGAAAGCCTGAAGAGAGTAATGTTGACAAAGTCTTGTTGGTTTTTGCTACATGTTGAGATTCTCGTCTTTTCGGTGTTCAAAAAGCTGACGGCAGTCCAGGAGGCCCCCAAGGTCGTCGCAGGACATTCCAAGAGGTTCCGAGGAGGATCCAGGACGGCCCAAGACGGCGCCAAGATAGCCCGGGGAGCTCCCAAGAAGACCCCGAGAAGCCCCCAGTGGCCTTCAGAGGATGGACCCGAACTGACTCTTCCAGTCCTCCATACCAAGCAAACCCCAAGTCCTAGGCCCCCAAGAGATCTCCAGAAGCCCCCAAGAAAACTCCAAGAAGCCCCCGAAAGGCCCCGAGGGCCCCCCAGAAGCCCCCAAGAGTCCAGAGGCCCCAAGAGGCGCTTAATCGCGTGCTGCCAGGCAAGAGGCGCATGGTATGAAGTGGTATTACTCGGACAGGATCGTCGTCGTCATCGTCGTCGTCGTCCTCGAGTTCGTGTTCGTGTTCGTGTTCGCGTTCGTGTTCGTGTTCGTGTTCGTGTTCGTGTTCGTGCTCGTCGTCGTCGTCGTCGTCATCATCATCGTCGTCGTCATCGTCGTCGTCAATCGTCGTCTTTACCCAATTCGTCGGTCGTCGTTGCAATTATCCCGCTCGTCGATCGTTGGTCGTCCGTTGTCGTCGTCACCGTCCATTCCCGATAACATCAGGAGCGCCCCAGATCGGCGGCACTGGCCGGAGGCCACTACAATATCAGATCGTTGGAGATCTGGTGTCTTTCCGTCCCCGCTTCGATCGTGCAACAGTCGTGAATGTCGCGCGCGAATGTATCAGGGATCCATGAATCTAGCGCGGGGAGCGCGCCGATTTTGTATGGGAGCGGGACGCACTGCTAATCCACGCGCCTTCCTTCAGATCAGACGTCGAAAACACAATGCGACATGGTGAGAAGTCAAAGCTAAAGCCACACACCCGATCTTTCTGCGTGATTTCCCGAGCCGGATCGATCCCAGGGCCAGAATCTGGACGAAAACTGCTGGTGTGAAAAATGTGCGACGTCAGGATGTCTGGAATTACGCTTCCGCGAAGCAGGGCTGGCTTCGCGTGGCCTCCGGCTGCACGTCGCTCGGGAAAGGCGGGCACCAAACACGTAAAATAGCTGAGCGTCGGTTCAGGGATTGCCCCGCACCGACCCTCAGGATTCGGACGAGGACGAGGACACGAACACAAAAGGGGGAACGAAAGACGAGGCGACAAGGGAGACACTGGGATCTGACGTTGCGAAAAAATAGCAACATCGTGGAACATGACGACCAGAGCCCTGGACCCTAACTTTCTGTGGCGGATAGATATGTGAGGGTCCCTGGGCCCGATATAAAACGAGAGCGCCTGCTTTGAACAAATGCAGCGCCAAGATCTCAGGCGAGGAAATGCTCGGGGAGACGCGAGACTCGGGAATGCTTGACATGGCCATCATGAAAATGACGAGACCCAGCCTGAAATTGGACGCGAACTTCGCTGCAAACATCCCACGAAAACTAGACCGTCAAAATCCAAGACGGGCTCGTCAAAAACGTCGGCAAACCAGAGTTCCGGCGCATTCGAGCCTTACGCTCACGTTTCCCCGAAGGGACCCCGAGTGGACCTCCGCTCGGCTGGGCCGAAACTTTGTTCCCAACCCTGGACACCCAGGCTAAGGTAGTTGAGCAGGAACCCACCGTCCCAGCATTCCTACAGGCGTACCACGACATGTTCGTAGAACAAACCAATGTTCTGAGATTAGAAAGCCGATGTATTCAGCCAAGACAATCTCAGCCAGAATTGTTCTAAAAACATTTCGCGAACACCACAGAAGGTTCGTAGAACATTCTTTGGTGGGCCTGTAGGGAGAAGCTAGGACGCTTCGCCACTGATCGAGGGTGGGGAGGGCTGGGACATGTTTTTGGGACAAACGTTAGCCCGATACCGATTTCATCGTGTGACTTGATCGTCTTCGTCTCGTCTTAACTTGCTCGGGGAGGTATGGAGGAAACCCGCCGTAGTCAAAATTCGGCGACTCCGGAGGGTGTGGTTTGCAAAGGGTGTGGTTTGCAACGGGCACCCTGGGGGGCACTTTGGGGGGCGGGCGAAAACCCGGACGGAGCTCTCCGCCGCGCCACGATGCCCGACGAGAACAACGTTGTCTTCCCCAGGCCCCAAACCCCGGCATAAACACACATACCCTCTTCCAACAATGACCGACCTTCCCGGCATTCCTATAGGCCAGGCCTACCACGAAATGTTCCTAGAACCGAAAAGTAGTCGAAGGAGCGAAACAAAGTTCTCGTAACATCAAACCGATGTATTAAACCAAGACGGTCTCAACCAGAGACGTTCGAAGAAAGTGTCGCGCAAACCACAAAAGGCTCTTGGAACATTCTCTGGTGGGCCTAGAAGCAGGCCGGAACGCTTCGCCACCGCTCGATTTGCAGTCGCCCGAAAAAGCCGCTCCAGAACTCCCTCCCCGAGCCCCTTCCCCGGGACTCCTCGTGCGCAGCTTTCCAGCCCGGATGTCGCTTCCTGGCGCTCCCTGCGGGGCCCGAGGCGGGCCCCTGCAGCGGCCGAGCACGGCGAACACCTATTCGACTCTCGATCCCTCGATCCCTCGATCCTTCGATCCTCGACCCTCGATCCCTCGACCCCTCGATGTATCGCTCCCTCGATCCGTCGACCCCTCGATCCCTCGATCGAGGAGGAGGAGCGAGCGACGATCCCCCCCACATGTCGGGCGTCTCGATGTTTTTCGAGACACGGGCCCCCGACCTCTCGACCTCTTCCCCAGGACCCGTTTCTCACCCCGAGTTGTTTCTGTCCCGAGGCCCAGTAGGGGCCCCGAGAGGCCGAACACCATGAAAGACCCCCATCCCGACTTTGTCCGAGACGCCAGGATGCCCAGGGCCCCCGCCCCCAGCAGCGAGAAGGCCGGGCCTCCCGCGAGCAGCAGCGCTGCGCGACGGCCGCCCGCGGCCCAGGCCGGCCGGCAAGGCCTCGAGTGGGGGGCGCCACAGCCCGTGTGGTGAGGGACCGTGTGGTGACCTCGGAGTCCCCCCACGACCTCCCTGCGCGGTCCGTCACCCGAGACATCCTGGTACGGAGCATCGCACGCTTTCTTTCTGACGAGTGGTCGTCATAAAAACGAGGCAGCCTAAAAAACCCTATCCCGCCACGTGTGCCCGAGACGCCCTCGGAGGACGAAGCGAGTCTCAGAGAACGACCCGAGGAGACCGACTAGTAACCTCGGAGGCCCCAGTCGCCCGAGACATCCTCAGAGCTGAAAGAACGATCGGACGACGAAAAGTGACCTCAATTACTCAAGTCAAATCAACAACGCTGTGTCTGCACGACACATCGGCTGAAGAAGTGCCAGCGGCTAGAGGCGCACGTCCATACCACGGCACAGAAAAGTAAGGACAGTTCAGGAAAAGGCGTGCCTTCTGGCGATTGTCTTCCACACTTTCTGGCTATAGTTCGCAGGACTGAGAAATTGCGACCACAGTCACTGTTGCAAGTATTTTTACCGTGCCTGAGTTCGGGGCAACTGGCGCGGTTGAGCAGAAGGAGAGATGTGGGCACGCGCAAACGCTGCCGAGGAACCTTGAGCATCCTGGGTTGAGGGCTTCACGCGTGGTCATCCTGGGAGACGCGAGCCCATCCCCCTTGCCCCGCGCCGCCCTCCGCCCGGGGAACGGCCCTGTCCGAACCTCAGACGTCGACAGAACGAACCAACCCATTGGTGGTCACCGGAACACACGACTGTATAGAACAACTCGAATGACTACTGATCGCGGACTCAAATGGTCACGCGAAATTCGTCGACACTGTCGCCAAAATGCATGACTACTGATTGGGGGGACGTGGTCAGAGAAGGCTCTGTCGAAGTCCTGACTCGCGGGCCGCCCCTTTGCCGGGGGGTCCAAGCCGGGGGTGGCTGGGTCTCCCGAAGAGAGGTCTTGGAAATGATTTCCTCTGCCGGCGATCCCCGGCGGCGCCAGGGCAACCGCCCTTCCAGGACGCGCGGATTGTATCAACGATGGTTGCCGCGTTTCTGTTCCAGGACAACACTGAAATTCACTTCAGTGGTCGAATCATCTCGCCTGAAACGACCCGAGTCCCAAAACCGTGCAGTGACCCCGAAGCTCCGCTGACCCAGACATCCAGCGTCTCAATTTTTCGAGACACGGGCTCCCGACTTCTCGGCCCCTTCCCCAGAACGGGCTTCTCACCCCGAGTCGTCTTCTGACGGTCCTGGGGCCCAGTAGGGGCCCGAGAGACCGAAAACAATGAAAAGCCTCCGCCTCTATTGACCGCCCTGGGGGCCCGAGAGCAGCCTCCAGAGGCCGAAAACGCTGGAAGACTTCAGCCTCTATATCTTCGAACCTTTCGAGGTCCGGGGAGGGTACGATGGAGACGAAGGGGGACACAACAGTACTTTGCGACACAGACAACACAGACACGCGCCAATACATCGTTACCCAAGCGATATGGCCAGAAAGCCCCCGCTACCGAGCAAATGCTAAAATCAGATTTCCGAGCGCACGCGCGCGTCGCCCCTGTGGCGGCCGACAAACACATAGAACTGTATACGTATACGGTGAGGGCATCGGATAAGGAACCCTTGGATAAGGAATCCAGGGTCTGGAAGCTGGCGGAACACCACTTGAGGCCTAGCCATGGATATCACCGCCGCCCTCATCAAATGAGGAAGCATCCAAAGTCTGAAACCTCCTGGGCACGTTCCTTAACCAACGCCCCCATCGTACCCAGACATCCAGCGTCTCGATGTTTTCGAGACGCGGGCCCCCAACCTCTCGACAACTTCCCCGGGACCGGTCTGTCATCCCGAGTCGTTTTTTGACGGCACCGAAGCCCGAGGAGGGCCCCGCGAGGCTGAGAGCGAGAACAAAAACTGCGTCCCGATGTTTTCAAGACGCTGGATGTCTGGAAGTTGCAAGCCTCCCAACAGGGGTCCAAGTAGACTGGGTCGGAGGATCTCGCCGCATCGACGATACATCGGTGATGCATCGGCGATGCATCGGCGACGTCTGCATCGGCGACGTCGGCGGCGCATCGGCGGTGCATCGGTGACGCCCTCGCGGAGAACGTCGGGCTCCACATCAAGCCGAATCGCTGATGCATCGGCGGTGCGGCGCGATCCTCCGACCCCATCTGCTCGGACCCCATCTGGGACGCCTAGATGACCCGAGAGGCTGAAAACTATGAATAACCTCCGTTTCGATGTTATTCGAGACGCTGGATGTCTGGGCGTCTGGGTCAGGGCGATGGAGGGCCGATGGCCTCGGCCGTGCCGCGCACCGCGGCTGCGCAGCCGCGGGCAGAGCACTGGGCAGCGCGCTGGCCACCTGGTGCGGCAGCCGAAAAGCGCACAGCCGCTGCCCCCCCCCCCCAAGCCCCCACCCCTACAGCAAGTTCGTGCCGTGACGGCTTCGGCGTTGGTCTTTGACACCACGTAGACCGTTCAACCTTGGACGATCGGTGGCCTCTCGGTCGCCAGCTCGTTCTAATCGGCCGATTCTGGCCCGCTGGCGGCGTTCAACCTCGAACGCCCTCGCTGGGGTCGCCGTCGCGTCGACACGACACCAACCTACCATGCCCCCACATCCTCGCGTCATGGACTTCTCTCTATTTTTTCTACCCGTTTCGGCCTCCAGGGGACCTCGCGGGGCCCCGGGACCGTTCCAGGAAAGCCCGGGGACAAAAGACCGGTCCCAGGGAAAGGGTCCAGACTGGAGTAGGGCTGGGGGATTCAGGTCTGCTGAACACCCCAAACGGACGTCAAGGAGCGCAGCCAGCCTGTTCGGTCAAGCCGGATGTACCACACCAGGCGTCAAACCAAGACTTTGGACATAGGCGAATGGTTGGACTTTGCACATCTTCGCCGGCTCAACCAGCGAGGCGTTCGACCACCTTGGTCCTTTTGTTTTTGGGTGGTCCTGCAGACGAAGGCGCTCTCTGACCCTCGGTCCCACTTGAGCCCAGACCTCCAGGGGCCCACGCGACACGCGGAAATCTCAACGACGGGGCTCTGGGCACGCAAGGGGCACCCGTGTATCCCCACGCCTGGCCAGGCCCTGACCTCAGCCCCTGTGCACCGCCCTGTGGGGCCCACGACGGCCCTGGCCAGGGGGGGGATGCTATAAAGACGACCCTTTTGATAAGGACACACGATAGGGATGCAAGGGCCTTGGAAGGCCGTTTCGAAGCTTTTCAAGCGGGGCGCGGCCAACGAAAGTGGCCAAGGATGGACCGAGGATGCAAGGATGCCAGGGCACCCTTGGGAACATGGCACATCCTTACTATGCGGATCGACTGTATACCCTGGCGTCCAACGAGGCGACTTCTCTTCGCTCCGGGGCCCCAAGGAAGTCCCGTCCGCTTCCCCCGGGGCAGCTCTTCGACCCGGGAACCCACCTTGGATGGCCCTGGAGCCCGAAACATCGGGCGCCAAAAGCCGAAGGCGAAGGAAAAAACACAGGGATTGGAACATCACATCGTCGGAGACGTGGGAACACCGACCTTTGTGGAAGCTCGGGATGGGTACGAGCAAATGGGTACGATGCCTAGCAGGACATATTGTCCAAGACCGACAGCGGCCGTTGTTGGGCAGGCTCTGTGTCTCGAGTGGACAACCTTTGTGCCCATTGTGTCCCCGAACCTTCGGCGTTGTTCTGACCAGTTGCCACAACCAGCCGCCGAGAGCAGCCAAGATCTGGTCTACGAGGGGAGAAAGGGGAGGGGGGTGGGTGGGCAGATAGGCTGATCAGGAAAGAAGCGAGCGGAGGTCAGGAAGGGGATAGACAGGAAGGAGGGCAACTGTGAAGGAGGATGACTCGGAAGCACCATCAGATCTCTCCCGATGCGAGGTCCCCGGGGGGCGGGAGAGAGCGCCCATTCTCGGCGACGTCGTGGCTTTCGCCCAGTGACATCGGCGAAACAAGAAAGACAAACGGCGACATGGCTGCTCGACACAAGGTCGCTTCGACGGCAGACCGCTCCACTGGGGCCTCGCGGTCCGCGCGCGAGGCGGACCCCGCTCTCGCTGCTACCTCCCCGGTGCAGCCCTCTAGGGCGTGAGAGGTCTACCGAGCTCATTCTGCCACACCCGCGCTTAGAAGTACGAAAGTCTTGAGCCAAGAGAAGGGGCTTCGCTCCAAGCGCTTTCAGGTCCAGAAATATAACCAACTTCTACGGGAAGAGAAACTCAGAGGAAACACCAAGGGTCCAATCCAGATTCTTGATTCTCTGAAGCGAACTCTGGAGTCCATTAGAAATTTGTTTTCCTCAAAATTTCTGTTCGGTGTAATCGCCTTCTTCCCCTTGGGTGATGGGCTCATCATATCGCCAAAAGGATTAACGACCGTCTTGTCACAGCTCAACACGTGGCCGCTTCTCTGGCGGACCGCTCCGCTGGGGCCCGACGGACCGCCGGCGAGGCGGTCGACGGCGTCGTCGTCGTCGTCATCGTCCTCACCGTCTTCGTAGTCGTCCTCGTTGTCGTCGTCGTCCTCGCCATCGTCGTCGCCGTCGTCGTCCTCGTCGTCGTCGTTGTTGTCGTCGTCGTCGTCGTGGTCGTGAACGTCGTGGTCGTGATCGTCGTCGTGGTCGACGTTGTCAACGTCGACGTCAACGTCGACGTCGATGTCATCTTCGTCGTCGTCAACGTCGTCGTCGTCATCGTCGTCGTTGTCGTGGTCGTGGTCGTGGTCATCGTCGTCCTCGCTATCGTTGTCGTCGTTGTCGTCGTCGTCATCTTCGTCGTCGTCGTTGTCGTCGTGGTCGTCGTCGTCGTCGTGGACGTCGTCATCGTCGTGAATGTCGTCGTCGTCGTCGCCATCGTGGTCGTCGTCGTGGTCGTCGTCGTCGCCGTCGTCGACGTCGTCGTCGTCGTGGTCATCGTCGTCGTCGTCGTTCTCGCCATCGTGGTCGTCGTCGTGGTCATCGTCGTCGTCGTCATCGTCATCGTCGTCGTCCTCCTCGCCGTCGTCGTCGTCGTCGTCCTCGCCGCCTTTGGTAGCCTCAGAAGCCTGTCTGTGTCGCTCCTTCTGCGTGCCCAAAGCAAGACGGCCCTGCGTGGTGGCAAGGATTCGTGTCATCATACTGGCAACCGACATATGCTAAAAGCGCGCGCCCTCCCGCATCTACTTTGCCTCGTCCTCATCGGAGTCAAAGTCGTCTTCGTCCATGTAGCCCCCTGCCACATCGCTGTCATCGAAGTCGCTCTTGGCGATCGTGGAGCGGGCAGTGTCCGATTCAGTTACTGCGCCGACCACGCTGATAGATGATGCTGCGGAGCGATGATTCTGCGAGGAGGTGTCAAGTGCCAGGGTAATGGGAAGAGCAATGACCATTGCAAGTATGTTCCTGATAGACGCCATCTGTGAAATTCTGCGGAGTGTCTGGATACGATCCGCCACCGTACCTCCTGGCACTTTGAGGCGTGGTAGAATGGCAAGTGCTGCCTAGTAGGGCCGTGCATTCGAAGGAAGGACCCCCCCCCACTCTAGACGCGTCCATCTGCATGCATCGCCCCTCCCTCCCCAGGCCACGATCCTCGTAAAAGCAATGGATGCGCGCTCCCGAGGCCACGACCCCTCGCAAAATCCCGATGTGTCCGCGCCCCGAGCTTCCAGGACGGCCCATGCAGTTAATCAAAAACACCCAGATGGCCCAGGACGCCTTGAAGACGGCCCAAGATGGCCCAACGGCAACCGAATCTATCCTCAAGACGTCCCAAGATACCTCCAAGAAAGCCCCAAAGAGCCATACACAAGAAGACCTCCAACAGGGCTCAAACCCATGATCCCCCCGTTGGTTTGACAGATGTTCGCATTCTCGCATATTCGGCCTTCCGTCAGCTCAAGATGGCTCGAGAAGCCTCCACGATGGCCCCAAGACGGCCCCCCAGAGAATCCCAAGACCCACGATTGCTCAAGAAGCACCCAAGATGGCCCCAAGACGGCTCAAGTGGGTCTCCCATTGGACCCAAGACGCCCTTAGACGGCCCGGATGCGTCCCAGAAGAGCTCATCAAATAATGAAGGCGAATGTTGCTACATGTGATGGCCTGCCTCGTCCTCCTCCTCCTGCCTCTCCTCCCCATCCTCCAACTCTATCATCATCGTCGGCATCCCGACCATCACCATCACCATCGCAATCACCATCACCAGCACGATCACCATCAGCACCACCACCACCACCATCTCCATCACCACCACCATCACATCACGATTACCACAATCGCTATCACCAGCACCATCACCATGACCATCAACATCACCACCATCATCACCATCAGCATCATCATACTCATCATCTTCATCATCATCACCCGCATCATCATCAACATCATCATCACTATCAACAGCATCACCGCCATCATCATCACCATCGTCATCATCATCATCAGCATCATCATCATCATCATCACCATCGCTATCACCATAATCATCATACTCCTCACCATCGTCAACACGGCACTCCCACGCCTGGAAGCACGAGATGTCACACGTGACGGCCTCCCGTACCCCCATCGAGTAACTGTCACCGAAAATGTCGGGCTGGCACGGTGGTGGGACTCGCCGCAGACAATTGGATGCATGGCGTGCTGGCTATGTCTACATCGCCGTGCAATGGGATGCCGAGACGGCTTGATAAAATGTCTACGGAAGGAAGAAGAGGGGGGGCATGTAAAGTGAAATTCAGGATATCCCAAGGCACGTGGGTGCTCACATGTGATTATTTTACTGGCATGACACCAGCCATTTGCATGGTTGTGTTATTATTGCCTGTAAGCGTTGGGTTGGGCCCCATGCTGCGCAAGAAGACCTCGAGCATGGTGATGAGTATGTAAACTTGCCTTCGCATCCGAGGAGGCCATGAGGCCTATCCTGCGGAGACTGCTGTGTTCGATATAGGAAGCAACGCCAACCTGCATGCCATGATTGCTGATCGCAAATCTTGCACGTGGTTTCGAGCCAAGGGCGACGCACACATGGCTGATGCTGCCACGGGATCGCGCCCTGGCATGTTGTGCACGGACCTGTTGACCATCTTGCCCTTCGTCCCCATTCACGAGAGGCTAAGGGACAATTTTTCCAGCCGACGGCCCAGACATCAATATTGAGGCTGTGTGTCACGGCCCTCCATGCTGCTTCGAATATCGGGTGCACTTCAACATGTATTACGGATCCCTGGGTCTGGCGTGTGGGCGCCATGTCCATGGTGCGGGGGAGGTGCCACCGGAACATGACGCCTATTACGCCTGGTTTGGCGACGGAGCGCGCCGACTCCGCACGTAGGCGGGACCCGTCGCTAATCCACACGACCTCAATACATGTCTGTTC